AAAGACATGTGGATTGAAAAAAGTTAATAAATGCTGATCAGGGAATTTTGACCAAATCAATAAATGCTGAGTTTTTTTTTTTTAAATAAAAAATAAAAAATTTAGAAAATTCAGATTGGAATATTGAAGCTCCCACAGGCCTTGGGGGTTAAAAATCCCATTTTGCTTAACACGGAATAATTATAAATATTTATATTTGTATTAGATTTTTTTAATATATAAATTATGTTTTTTAAGATTTTTTATAAAAATAATTTAACAATCTTATCACTAAGCATAGTGTATGAGAGAAGTTAAAAAGGGTACTGCAGTAACTATACACGGATTGTATCTATAATTATTTGTATGAGTGGATTTCAAATGCTGATCAGGGGATTGTATCAATAAATGCAGGCATGTGAAAAAACATGTGGATTGAAAAAAGTTAATAAATGTTGATCAGGGGATTTTGACCAAATCAATAAATGTTGAGTTTTTCTTTTTTTAATAAAAAATATAAAAAATTCAGACTCGGATATTGAAACTCCCATGGGCCTTGGGGGTTAAAAATCCCTTTTTGCCTAATATATAGTATAGATATAGATAGATAGATAGATATAGATATAGATAATATAATATAGATAGATAGATGTGTTGAAATTTTTAAGGAATTTTGTTTATGCTAGTTTTTAATGCATTAAAGTTTAATTATGAGGGGGTTTTGACCAAATCTCCCAAAAGGCATGGGGATTGGGAGAAATTAATAAATGCTGAGGTTTTTTTTTTTTTTTAAATGAAAAAATTAGAAAATTAGGATTGGGATATTGGAGCTCTCACAAGCCTTGGGGGTTCAAACCCCCTTTTGCTTAATATATAGTATAGATAGCAAAACTTGTACATATAACTCAAGAAATCCCTACCTCAAAGATAAATGAAGAGGGAGATGAAACCCTAGCCCCAAGGATGATCCTTCAACTGCCACTACACCAAGAAGAGCCCCCCCCCAAGCTTGATCTTCAAGATTAGAGGATAAGGATGATGATCTAAACTCAAGGGATTACAAGAATCAAAGTGTTTTTAATGTTTGGGAGATGATTTCTAGAGAGAAGAAAGAGAGAAATTAGGTTTTTGAGTGAGAAAAATAAGCCCCAAATGATATACACTTCGACTAAAAATGGAATTAAAAAACAGAGATCTGGACTACCCGTCTGCCGCACGTGTGGCGCCCCCTCTCCGCACGTGCGGAGCGCCCCTCTCGCACGTGCGGCCCTCATCCCCGCACATGCGGGGCTCCTCTCTTGTACCTCTCTCCGCTTGTGCTTATTAGACAGAATGCACTCCATCAAGCTTTCACTCTTCTCGCACGTGCGGCCTAGGGCCCCGCACATGCGGCCCTAGCCCAGCAGCCCAAAAAATTTCTACTTCGCTCCTGGGCACTCCGGACCTAACCTTATGCTCCCCGAAAATGAAGAAACCTCAACATCGAATAAAAAAAGAACAAGGATTTAGTTCGGGAACAACTTCTGAATGTCTCGAGCTCAATGAGAGCGAGAAGGGAACGAAAATAAAAAAAAAGAAGGTAAAAGAAAGGGGAAACAAGACCCGGTCATCACAACAATACTGCAATATTAAATGGTAACATAAGATTTATATAGTGAAACAACTCATTTTTTTTCTCCTTTTCCTGATGTGGGATTGTAAAATAAAAGTTAACAGTTGTTTGGATGGGTGCAATCTCAATCGTTCAATTTTTAATAAGGCCAATATTAGTTTATTTCAAATTAAACAAATCTAGGCAATGTATTTGGATAAAACAGTTAAAACCGCAGTTAAACTAGTGAATTAGTCAAGCTGAAAATGATTCAACCTAATCGGTTAAGTAAAAAAACCAACCAATTTACAACAAAATTAATTAATTAAAATTTTTAAATTTGAACTATATTGAACTGAAGAATGCACAATACTACCATATTAAATGGAAGTATAAGATTCACTTTATATAGTAAGTGAAACAATTCACTTTTTCTTTATTTTCTCGATGTGAGATTGTAATTATTTTAAAGTTAAATATTATGAGAGTTTCAAAATCTTATACAAAATTATTTTAAAAATCAAAACCTCTATGTGAAATTGTAAAATAAAAATTAAATAGAAGCTAGCCAATGGAGATTTTCTTAATTTTAAAAATCTCAATTTGTTTATATAAATGAGAGTATAAGATTTACTTTATATAAGTAAAACAATTCAACTTTTTTTCTTCTTTTCCTGGTGTGAGATTGTAAAATAAAAGTTAAATGAAAGCTAGCCAATGGAGATTTTTTAAATTGTTTAAAATTAAGAAAATTGAATAATTTATATAAATGGTAGCATAAGATTCACTTTATGTAAACGAAACAATTCACTTTTTTCTCTTTTTCCTGATGTGGGATTGCAAAATAAAAAATAAATTGAAGCTAGCCAATGAGAATTTTTTTAATTGTTTAAAATTAAGAAAATTCAATAATTTTAGAATGAGGGTTTGAAACTTTTAGAAGGCTTTTTTTTTTCTCAAAAACCCTTTTATAAGATTAACTTTATATAAGTAAAATAGCTCACTTTTTATTTCTTTTCTTGATGTGAGATTGTAAAATAAAAATTAATAATTGTTTGGGCAAGAAGTTTATCTCTAATAAAGCAATCTCAGTTCTTTGGTTTATTTCGAATCAAATAAATCTAACCAATATATTTTGATAAAATTGCTAAAATCACGGTTAAATTAGCAAATCATTCAAATCAAAAACAATTTAGCTTAATCAATTAGATCAAAAGACCAACCAGTTTATACAAAAATTAATTAATTTAAACTTTTAAATTTTATTTTATTCAAATTTACATTGTCACTAAATATGGAAAACAATCTATTAATTTAAATTTAAAATTGACACATAAATTTAAAATTATAATAATCTATCCCATGATCTATAAGTTTTATATACAAATTTAAAATTATCATAATTATCTCATAATTTTTGTATTAAGGAGCAGTAAGAGTGACGTTTACAAAAGAATACTTTAAATGAGAGATATTATGAGAGTTTCAAAACCTCATACTGAATTATTTTTAAAATCAAAACCTCTATGTGAGATTGTAAAATAAAAGTTACATGAAATCTAGCCAATGAGAATTTTCTTAATTATTTAAAATTAAGAAAATCAAGAAAATTAGTATGAGATATGGATCATAAGATTTCTCACTAAAAATCTCATTTTGCTTATATAAATGGGAGTATAAGATTCACTTTATGTAAGTGAAAAAATTCACTTTTTCTTTCTCTTTTGGATGTGGGATTGTAAACTAAAAGATAAATGGAAGCTAGCCAATAGGAATTTTCTTAATTGTTTAAAATTAATAAAATTCAATAATTTTAGAATGAATGTTTGAAACTCCTAGAAGGCTTCTCCCTAAAAGTCCCATTTTTCTATATAGATTTTGAATGATCTAAATAAATATACTTTTTAACTTTTTACGAAAGTATGTACAAAAAAAATAAATAAAGAGGTGATGTGACCCAAATAAGTGCAATTATCTAAATAAGTGCACTTATATAGTGTATGCCAAGAGGTTAAGAAAAATTTAGAATTGAAACTTCTTTTGTGTTATTTTCGAAAAAAAGAGGAGTGTGTGGTCGAAACTTTTTCCGATGAGGTAAGATGGCCGGTGGTGGTGGAGATAGGGAGTGATTATAACTTATTTTAATTTGAGAATCAATGATAGACTGTTTGGTGTAGCTTCTGCTTATGGTTTTTTCGGCAAAAATAACTTAAATAAGCTTAGAAAAATTGATTATTTAGAAATTGGGAAATGGGTGCTTTTGGTTTCTACTTTCTGATTATCAACTTTTAACTTACTATAAGTTGCACCAAATAGCACCATAGTGGGTTGAGATGGTGGTGTAAGGGTGGAGCAAAGTGGGGTGTTTGGCCAACAAAAAAGTAAGGGAAAATGAGAGAAATGTAGAAAGAAGTTAGGGAGTGAAGAACGAAGACAAAATGAAATAAAAATTTGCATTTTTGTTTTTGTTTTTGTTTTTGTTTTTGTTTTGTTTTGTTTTTTTTTGAGTTGAAAGGTGGTGTTTGGTCACACCTACAATCAAGTTTGTAACTGGGTTTAGATATCGTAAGTGAAGTTTAACTTAGGGGCGGGTTTGACTCTAGATAAATGTTGGGCATATTATTGGTCCGTTCGTTTTGGGTTATAAGAAATGAGATTAAATTAGGATGAATGTGGAGTTCACTAATATTATGTTTATTTATGAAATGGGGAGATTCACAATATCTTGGGACTATGATAGGTCTCCATGGATGGGATTAGTAATTTTTCCTATGGATGCTGGTATTAGAAAAACAATCCTTTGGGATTAGAGGCAGATTTACTATTTTGCATTCTATTATCCTACCTAATTTACTTATTCTCCTTGATTAGTATGGTCTTTTTTTTTTAATTATTCCACTATTTTTTACTCCACCTTCTTTATATCAAAATAATTTAATATAAAAATAATTTTTAATATAAAAATATAATAGTATAATAATATTTATACCAAAAAAAAAATTATACTAAAAAAATAAAATAGTACCAAATATATATATATATGAAATATAGTTTTCAATATTAACATATAATTTAATATTTATAAAATATATTTTTAATATTAAAATATATTATGCATTTATTAGTTGATATAAGTTCAAATTTTTAACATGAATATTTATAAAATTTTACATAATTAATCTCATCCTCTCAAAACAAACAAAAATTATTATTAATCTACAAAGGCTTGGGTTGACATTTAAAAAAAAAAATAAAAAAAGTTAAAAGTCGCTATCCTATTTAAGTCACATCGTCTTATTTGAGTCACATCACCTCTCTACCATATCACGTCAAATTCAACCCATATTTCATAAAAAATCAAAAAATATACTTATTTAGGGCATCCCAAATAACCTCTAATTACCAAACCAACATAATTTTTTTTAATCGCTTTACTGACAATAGCAGTCAACCTACTTGTGAAAACTAACCTGCCGTATATATATTTCCTCTTCTATTCATTATTACAATCTGCAAGATCTGCAGATGTAGGTGAGCAAAAAGCTAAGGTGAGCTATTCTTTGCCTAAACTATTGTTGTTTGATCTCATCCTTCCGTTTAAACAAACCACTATAAACTTTTACATCAAAACTTTGATTGATTAGTTATTGTTTCATTTCTCATTCTTTATGGGTTGATCATGTTCTGTTTCAATCTGATAAATATAATTTGCAAAAGCTAATAGTTTTCATTTTTTTATTGTTAAGGTTTGGTAAGACATTAAGCTATGCAAAGCTGAAGACAATTGATTTGGAAATTCTAGTGAATCTTGCTGGTGACAAGGAAAGATATTTAAACTCTCACATGGTGCTAAAATCTTGGGATCTTAGAGGTATCTCTTTTTATTTTGCGGACTTTTTTATTTAAATTATGTGCTCTTTAAGTTTCTGTGAATATTTTTGTAAATCTTCTTGGCATCAAGACAGGATTAAAGCAAAGTGTTGCCTCCTTCATGATTTTTTCGTGTTTTTGCAGAATTTTCTTTTCTGTACACCCGTCATTCAAAGTTAAATATCTCTATCTTACCATGACTTTGGATTGAGTAAGATTGATGGTGTTGGAATTTTATCCTTCATATCTAGATGGGTTATTCTTGACATCGTTTGAGAGGTAAAAATCTACCTAAGTTCCTTTTCCTTTTCAAATCAAGCTCTTTGAATCATAAATTTAGGTATGAATTTAAAAAAAGAAAAAAGAAAAAAAAAAGAAAAAAGGGAAATAGTGAGACAATTGTTAATAAAAATATAAGTTTTTTTTTTTTTTTTTTTCATTTCGCTTTTATTTTCAAATTTCTATTGAAATTTATATCCAAACACAGCGTTATTTCCTTGTTTGAAATTTGCATTAATTCGACGAAAGCTATGTTAGTATATGTTACATTAACGGTATGAATATGAGTGTAATTGTGTGTCTTGGACCGAATAATAATATATACTCAATATTTTATTGAGAAATTTATTAGGAAATCTTATTAAGTATTTGTATCTGAATTAATACATAATATATTCTTGTATTTTAAGTCCTATTATTTGGACATTTGATTCACTAAATTCTACTTCTTAGATTTAAGGTAATTTTTTGAACAATTGTACACTTACAAATATTTTTTGTATCCTTAACAATTTAGTGATATGAACATTCATATTTGATAGTATGAATGTTCATATCACGGTAAATTCACACTGTTAAGATTAATGCACTTTACCCTATTATTATTAGAGATATCTTAGTAACGATATCACCCATAACACATTGAAATATAATAAGATAATTTAGACTAAGGCCTCGTTTGGGAACCTTTCCTTTTAGTCAAAAAGTCAAAAAATTACTAAATTAGCAAAAAAGTCAACAACTCATATCAAAAAGTTAAAAATTCTCTTTTCTCTTTACTTTTTGCATATCTTTTCGTAAAAAATTAAAAAGTCATCCCAAACATATTAGTTTTTTTAGTTCATATTTTAGCCAAATAGTTAAAAAGTTACTAAATTAGCCTGTTCTCAAATATAAATAGATGAAAAATAATTTATGAATAAATATCTCAATTTTATTCAACATTATTTAAATTTATTTTATGCATGGGCCTAAAAAACACCTCTTGGATCTCCATTACAGGTTTGAAATATGGACAAATTTCTTATTATTTTTTTGGACTGTAGCTTTAGTGGTCCTCGACCTCCTTAAACTTAATCTTAAGATATACAAGTACTAGTGTATGTCTTATTAATGATGTGATTAAAATATAATTAAAATATAATTTATTATATTCATTGCTAAAAATTTGAGGTCAAAATATAAATACAAAATATAAATACAGATCTAGTTTTGGCTTTTAAATTAATTTTGTAAAATTATTCGGATAAAAATGCACCTAATAAAATTAAAGTAAAAACCGTAAAAAGTAATTTATTATAAGAATATGTCTCGTGGCCTTTGTCACTGAGGTGGGTAAAAAAGTTTTGTTAAAAAAAAAAAAACTCTTTAAACAAATCACACCACTCTCATTATCTTTCTTTTCTCTGTCACCAGCCTTGTGAAAAAATTACATTTTAATAGAATTCAATTTAAATTTGCTAACCCAAAAAAAATCCAAAAAAAAACTACATTTTCCACTTAAGCACTTTTTTTTTTTTTTTTGAAAATGATTTAACATAAAATGATTATGATTTATGGTGAGATAACATTATGTTACAAAATTTTAGATGTTATTATATATTTGGGTGAATTACACTAATAGTTTCTATAGTTTGGAGTTTGTGTCAAAGGTCATTGATTTTTCAATTGCGATATACTTGACTCTGAATTTTGAATCTTGTTTCAAATAAGGATAATTGAAGATATTATTGCTCAATTTTAAGGGTAAATTCGTCAATTTGATAAAATATAAACTAATTTGACAAAAATAAATGTTAAAAAAATATTTTTAAATTTTTAAAAATAATTTCTACGCACTAAAGATAAAATTATGTAAAATTGATAAAAATAAAAACAACCACCCATTACATGATCATCTAAACACATAATAAAAATTAATTTGGTAAAAAAAATAAGAAATGTCTAAAAGATTTATCAATTTAACATAATTTTATCTTTGGTGGGTAGAAGTAATTTTTAAAAATTTGAAAATATTTTTAACATTTATTTTTATCAAATTAGTTTATATTTTATCAAATTAACAATCTTGCCCTCGAAATTGAGCAATGGAATCTTCAATTGTCCTTATTTGGAACAAGATTCAAAATTCAAGATTAAATATATCACAATTGAAAAGTCAGAGATCAAAGTGACAGGCCCAAACTATAGGACCGTTAGTATAATTCATCTTAGTCCTCATTTGGTTTTCTTATTGGGGTTAAAAAAGCATAAAAAGACAAAAATAAGCTATATAAATTAATAAAGCAAAATATTATTTTTTATTTATAATTATTACACTTTTTTTCTCACGAAAATCAAAAAAATCCCACAACAAAAATCAAATGAAATTAAAAAAGTTAGATTAAAAAAATCTCAACACAAAACAATTAACTATATTAAGGGTCTGTTTGACAAATTAGTTTCGGACTATTTTAGTCATAAAAGACAAAATATGTTATTTTAGTCATAACAAACAAAACATCATATTCAATCTATAATTATTATACTATTCTTTCACAAAAAAAGTTAAAAAAATCAAAAAGTTAAAAAGTCCTTCCCAAATCAAGCTTTTTAGCTCAGGCTAAAAAAGTAAAAAAAATTAAAAAGTCAAAAAGTCAATCCACTTCCCAAACGGAGGCTAACAATGTCAAACGATCTCTTATAAATTTTATTGTACTAATGGGTGAATATTAAAAGATTAATGCTTGGGAACATTAAAAACAAAGTATTAAGAGAGCACTAATAAGATGACTTCTCTCTTGATGTGATGGTTGTCTCTATTATTTTTTTTTTAATATATTTTTCAACTCATTAGTATTTTTATGGTGTGTTTTTTAAGGGTCTCAATCACTTCTCATATTGAATTACAAAATAAAAAATTTTGGGAAAAACAAATCCACGTGGGATCTGCCGCCACACATTGCCTCACACATTGATCGAAGCCATGCTTGCATTATTGTTTTGGGTTTTGTGAAGCTTCAACTTTCCAAAAGTTGTGGGACATTTTGTCATCAGAAAAAAATAAAATAAAATGATAAGGTGATTGAGTTACATATAATATATATATATATATATATATATATGAGTGGGAATAGCCCGAGTTATAGAAATGAGATAAAATAAAAATAAACAACCGTGAGAGACATGCCAGGTGGGTTGAAGAAATAAAAAAGGTTGAAATATTAAAAAAGTGTTATGAATTTGAAAGTTGTAGAGCATCTCTTGGTGCTTGGCTCTTCAGGGTCCGTTTGGGAAGGGTTTTTCTGGATTTTTTTAATTATTTTAGTCACAAAAGATAAAATAGGCTATTTTAGCCACAAAAAATAAAATATCACATCCAACCTATAATCATTACACTCTTCTCTCACAAAAAAAGTCAAAAAAGTCAAAAAGTCCTTCCCAAACCAAGCTTTTTAACCCAGGCTAAAATAGTTAAAAAAGTCAAAAAGTCAAAAAACCAACCCACTTTCCAAACGGAGACTCAATTTGGATGGATATAAAAAAACAAATGACCTGAGAGAGAGAGAATGAGATGAGTATGATTAAAACAAAAAAAAAAATTGAAAAGGATGATGGGTTTAAAAAGTCAATTGTGGAGGATGGGTTGTGATTGAAAAAAAATTGAGAGTTTGGGATGATGGGTTTAATTAATCAATCGTGGAGGATGGGTTGTGATTAAAAAAAAAATTGTGGGTTTGAGAGAATGGAAATCTGAGAGAGAGAGAGGGAGCAATAATACAAAAAAATGAAGAGTGTGGTGACGTATACGAAGAGAGATTAGATTTCAGAGAGAGAGAGAGAGAGAGAATGGGGACGGGGCCATTCTAATTTGGCTGGACAAACAACCATCGAAGAAGAGAGACAATAAATGAGGATGAGAGTAGATGGAGGTGATGGTGGTGGGGTGGTTGGTGGTCGTGGTAGTCAGTGGGAGCGTTGCGAGAGGAGAGGTGGAGGACAAAGAGAGGAGAGGCAGAGGAGAGAGAGGTTTGGGCTTAGATTTTTAGGTGATAGAGAGAGCAAAGAGGTTTAGCTGATGATTTAAGAGGAGAGAGAAAGCATTTGGACGGGAAATTAACCATTGAATTTTGGATGACACAATCTAAATTGTTAAAAGCATTTGGACGGGAAATTAACCATTGAATTTTGGAAGACACAATCTAAATTATTAAAACAAAATGTACTATCTTTGATATTTTGTAGATTTGAATTTTGGATATTTTTAAAAAACTTCTTCCCATATTTTGAAGATTAGGTTATCAAGTATTGGAAGGCTACCATAAGCTCTATGCTTAGAATTCAAATAGTTCACTTTTAAGTATTTGTGTGTAGATAATTTTTAGAAAAGAAAATAAATTTATTGATAAAATGTAGTCACATAATTCTTGTATATTTTTTTAAAGACGATGCATTAAAATTATGTGATTATATTTATCGAATCAATATATTTTTTCAATAATAATCTAAACACAAGTACCTAAAAATAAAATAACCAAACAGTACTTGAGGTGCACTCACAAACCAAAAACTCCACGGTCTAATCCTATAATCGTTTGCATGACTAGAGACATGCCACTACAGGAAATTAGAGATTTTACGGCGTTTAATTAACGACGTTTTATGAAACGTCACTGTTTTAAATAATTAACGGCGTTTTTAAAACGTCGCTTTTGTTGTTAATCAAAACGGCCCCGTTTTATGAATAGAAGACGCTTGGAAGCGCCTCCAAATGACGAACCCTATTTTGTCTCTCCACACCTTTATTTTGAAAACCCACCGCCGTCAAGTTCGAAGTTATCACTCACTCAAATCTCTCACTCTCTTGCTCTCTCTCGATTCTTCTTCAGAGCGATTGCGATTTCTAAGTTTCTCAGACCCAACCTATCTGCAACCGTATGGCTTCAATCTCGTAGTTTCTCAGAGCGATTGCAATTTCGAAGTTCGATTTTGAGCACCGCCGTCTACAATCTCAGAAAAACCAATCGAATCCTTCAAAATCTGCTTCAGCTCCGTGATTTCGAAGTTCGATTTGGAACTCTTCATCTCTTCAATCAGAGGTTAGTGCTTTCGGTCCTTTGTTTTACAATCTCAGAGCTCTACAATCTCAGAACTCTAGATTGTGCTTTCGATCCTTTGTTTGGTTGCTGAGAAAACTTCTCATTACCTCTGAAATAACATCATATATTTGAAAAAAATCTTAGTTGTTCTCTGCTTTTGACTTCTCACTTTCTTCCCATGCTTTGATTAGGGATAACCTTTTTTACCAGTTATGGACGAGTAAATTTATTCATTTTCTAAGTTTATTCAGCTCTAAACAGTGCAATTCTCATAGGCATTATGTAGTTCATAGGCATTCGTAAACAGTGCAATGCTTTGATCCAGGTATTCGTGAGTCTGTATTCTTTTGATTCGATTATGTCCTCTCTACATTTCCTCAATTCATCGCTCTTCTTTCTTCTCCTTTCTCACGTGTTCATAATTTTACTACTTTTCAACTCTTTTTTTTTCTTTTTTGAGTTTCGGTTGAGAGTTTCTAGTTTTAATCTCGGTTCTCGAGAAAGAAGTGAAACTTTAATTGATTTTAATTGTATAGATCGATCGCAGAAAAACACTACACTTTCGGTGCAGAGTTGAGTCGGAAAAATGAAATACCTGCTTCAAGGTCAGGTGCTCATTCACTTCCTAAATCCAATAAGAATAATGTGCTCAGTACAAGCCACTCAAAGCATAATCAGATTGGTCAAACAGGTATACGTCAATTTTTGCTGGTCATACTAGACCGTTTGTTGAATCAAATTTGTTGCCCGCATCAGAAAAAAATGGATTTGTTCAAAGAATAATTAGATTGGCTAACCAGGTTATTATTGTAACAGTATTAATTTTTAAAGGCATTGAATCTGTAATAATTTGTTTAATGTTTATTTGTAATAAATGAAATTGATGTGTCTCTCTGTGATCTGTAACTTATTTTTTCTGCAGATATATATTGTTCAAAAGAGTGCAAGAATACAAGACCCCTTTAAAAATACTAAAAGTTCTTCAAATAAAGCAAAGGCTGGTTGTGATTCCTCATCTTTGTCTGCAAAATCACCACTTCAGCATCCTAGAAGGAATATGGTAAGACTCCAAAAGATCTTTTGACTATTGGCTTAGTGAAACATCGTCATAGAATTTATGGGTTTATGTGTGGCTAACCTTTATGCTATATAAGTTTCTTGCTTTAGTGTTTTGCTGTCATTTTGATTTTGGAAACAATCATCACACATTGGTCTTTGCTTTGAGCTTTTCTCAAGATGTTTAGTATATGAAACAAAGATCATATTGCCTTAGAAATGAAGCTTTCTGAACAAGGGATTGCCACTTTGTTGCCAATATCCCTAAAGTGAACAAGCAAAAATCAAATGATTTCACCTTCTTTTTTTTTTCTTTTTTTCTTGCCTTTTCTTGAGAATCAAACATAACTTAGTAGCAACAACCTTCTTTCACACCCCTCACAAAGAGAAAACCAAGTCACCTACCTTAATCATAAGTCATCATTGTCCCATTTCCTTAATCATTCACCATGTGGTTGAAAAGATTTGGCCTGTTTGTATGGAGCCCATTGTTTCACAGAAAATTCTCCTCCCTAGCATACCTTGGTTCTTGGAGAAGTACAAACCATGGACTGTGGTACGAGTCTACCGTCCTAAATACGATTAATTGCTGTCCTTGTTCCATTTTTCTGGTTCAGCATCTGTATATGGGACGATCACCTCCTGTGTTCACAGAAATGAGGGTTCTTCATCAAACCACTGATCACGACCACTTGGTATGTAATACTGTCTTAGTCATGGTGGATTTATGTCAATAATGTTCTAGATGGTGTACTGCTCAGAGATGCGAGAAAACAAGTATGGAGGAAAGACTTTATTGAATGGAAAAAGTTTTAGGTTCTGGAAATACTCAGCTTCCTCATCTGTTTAATGCGTTAAATTGACAGTTTTCAGTTTGTAATGTTCATGGCATTCAATATGAAAAACTTTATTGAGAAGGAAAGAGCAAATTTTGTTTGCTTGGTGTGAAATATGGAAATGCATCCCTTTAGTTTCACGGGAAGTATGAAAAAGATGCTTAAAGATGACTTTCAAACCTTAGTGGACATTTAAGGAGTCATTTGAACCTGAAAATCTTCTGCAAATGGGAATTATGGTATGCCCCGATTTATTGGCCTTCATTGAGAAGATGAAGTGGAAAATGTTCACTGTGAAAAAGAAGCAACAAACAACATCTAGCCTCCTGGAGCAGTAATGATTTTGTCCAAAATGTTCTAAGCAAAGCATATGTGGTCTCAGTTGCACAACAGAAATGATCCACTCAGTTCTGGATTGGAATGGGAGTGAGTTCTTTGGAGCCTTCTTTTATTTTCTTTTTGGGCGTTGGGGAAGGATGAAATTCTCTGTTTTTCAAATTGCACAATAAGGGATGTAAGCTGGGAAATTTTGTTGGCTGCCTTTACTTAGATCACACTCATGAATGTTAGTTGTCATTTTTCCAGTGTTGTAAAAGTGTATATAACCAGAACATAATTTGGGGTGTGTTTTGTCTTTCGTTTATGTATGGGATTCACCTTTGTGGCCTAAATGAAATACTTTCTGGAAGCTTTTGGAAAGCTGTATTTGATGTCTCAACTGTTAGAGCCTTAGACCATATTAGTTTACCGGTTATTTTCTCCATTTATTTTGAATTTCTCAGATATTATCTTAGATAGAGCGTGCAAATTATAAAGCTTTACGCTTTTAAGACAAATTCTTGCAGCACACAGCTCATTTTGGCAGCCTTGAAGCTGAGAGTGACTGTTTACTTTTGGTCTCCTTTGAGGCTGTAGTTTCTATTGCTCTACGGCTGACTTTTGGATTGTTCTTGCAAAATATGTGAAGTTTTTCTCTTATCCCTTTTTTCCTTTTGTTGAATATCACATATGATATTCTCATAAGAATCTTTAAGTATAACCCTGTTTCATGATTTCTTGTGTCTTTCGATTTCTAGTCCTGAAGATTTTGGATCAGAAGTGTATGGCTATGCTCAGCACTGTCACTCGTTGCCAAGACATGATAACGTATGCTACATGTTTTTGATCATCTCAGTCATCTTTATCCATCAGCATTTATCGTGATCTCCGGTACAGTGCTGTTCAAACTAGGGGCAACTTTCCGTTGCCGCGACGGTGTAAAGTTACTCAGACTAGGGGCAACTTTCCAGTTGCAGGGATCTGGGGTTGTGCATCTCAGTGACATATTTTCGGCGTGTCCAATTTTGATCCACATCGAAAAATAGTTTTGAAAAGTTTTAATAAAAGCTGACTTTGTTCAAATTAATCTTTTTACGACTAAGACCATTTTTGGACCAAAAGTGGAAAATTTTCAGTACCACAACTTTCAATTTCACTGATTTCAAAATAGAGCTCTCCTGCTCTTGCTTTACAATCGAGGTTGCTTTTTTTAGTACATTCATAAAGAAAACTTGAAAATGCTAAATAAGCAATAAATTTGAGGCATAGTTGAATCAAGTATCTCTGCGTCCCCGCCCAGAGCTGGACGGAGCATCTGATGCCAAGCTGGGCCCAACTTGTGCCTCCTCATTGAGCCAATCCACGCACTCATCAGACAAAGTGCAACTGAAAGTAGAAGCAGGGGCCAGAAGCTCTCTAGTCCTCCATGCCGTGGCATATCGGGCAAGCTGTGCACCCCGGACCGGGAAAGCGGCTGGATACTCAATCGCCTCCGGCGGGCAGGTCTGATCATGACCAAACTGACGCAGAAACCGGAACGGAAAATAGAATACGCAGTGGGTTAGACCAATCAGTTGGATCCCAATCAGCCGAGACATACTATAGCTCATTGCCGGGAGGTTGAGCCAAGGACAACGCCAAGCAATGCTGTCTGCGGACAAATTGCACATCCAATCGAACCACCACCTTTCGTCAAGAGCATTGACTAGGCGCTGCCGAAAGAAGTAGCCTCGAGCTGAATAAGCCGGGCAAGAGTCCACAACCTGCAACTTGTCCATTAACCATACCTGGGAGAGGGATAGAAAATGAGAGAATAAAGAACAGAGAGATGTACGATGAGAGAAAAGTGAGACAAGGGTTTTGTGAGAAAAACCATGTACGATGAGAGAAAAGTAAGATTTCTTGAATGAACTTCCATGCGAGCCTGAGGGTCGAGTGATGTGAGCAAATATATATGTGAGGTTGGGTGGGAAACATTACCTGCAGTAGCAGTGGACTCCCAACAAACCTAGTCGCCTCCCGGCGATAGACAGAATCTAACCCCATCAGAGTCTCGACCAAGGTCATGGCAATACAGCTCTTCCCTTCTCTCAAGCCTTGGGCGATTTCAATCAGGCGAATGATAGCCCCGCCGAAGCCCGAGGAAAGCAGAAAATGAGATAACAAACATAAGCAGAGGGCGTGTTGCCGGAAACCCTGCCAATAATGGTTGCTGCGGTCACCGGCGTCGGAAAAACGATGGATCAAGCCGAGGATATCCAGCTCCTCACTGCAGATCAGAGATCGAGCATCATGCGCCGTGAGCCCACACATCTGCCCTAAAGCCTGAGCATGGCCAAAACGGAGCTGCGGCAAGATTACTTCAGAGCATTCAGATTCCATCAAAACCTGAAAATCTTCGAAAGTGGGGCACATCTCTTGGCCGCCAAAGCTAAAAACGTGCGTCACTGGATTCCAGAACCTTGCCGCGGCATGGAGAAAAGGAAGATGTAGCGAAGTACGGCTCAGCGTGAATAGTGCATTCAAGCCGAAACCCCGGAAATTCAACTTTTCCGAGCCATCTAGAGAAGAGATCCAAGATGTGATATTTTCTGTGAGAAACGCTTCCATCTTTGTCTAAAACCAAGATAAAATGAATGTTCCTGAAGTTGGGGCTTTTATAGAAGGAAAAACACTATTCACGGGGACACGTGTCAAAAACCTGGTGGTTGCAGGACTGAATAGCCGGCCAGCCACTTTTTCTGGCTGGCCAGCCATTTACTTTTTCAGAAATGGCCGGCCAGCTGTCTCTCTCCGCCAAAAATGGCCGGCCAGCTCCCAGGGATGGTCGGCAATGCTGCAGTGTATCTCCCTGGCCCTGTTTTATCCTTCGAGGGAGAATTCCAAGCATTTCCATGCAACGGGAAAGTCAAAGGCCTCCGTTTTGGATGCGTTCCGGTGCCCAGATCGTCAGAAGTACACTCTGTTGTCGTTTTGTTTATCGAGTTGTAGTTTTGATTATCGAGTTGTTGTTTTGCTTATCGAGTTGTTTGTCGAGCGGACGTGTTTCGTGTTTTTGAGTCATTGCACTCTGTTTAAACTTTTTTTGTTAAAGTCTTGTGTATTTGCGTTATTTACGTTGTTGCATTTTGCTTATCGAGTTGTAAACTTGCTAAAGATTCTGTTATATCTTAGTAAGTTGAGTTGTTTAGTTTGTGCGTCGGTTCACTACCTGACTTGGTGATTACACAATGCGCATTTCCATTCAATTTCATTTTTGTGCAAAATATTGATGCGATACGATGCTAAAAGTTTAAAGTACAAACACCTTTTCAAAAGCTATTTCATTTCATCATGTTTTACAACAAACAAAGGTACAAGTTTTACAAAAAAATAAAACTGCCTAACAATGTGCAAAGTGCTACAAACTACTAGCAAAAAGAAAAACAAAGCAGGAAATAATAACATCAAAGTCCTCGGGAGCGGGAGCGAGAAGCACGCCTCGTCCTCTTTTGCGGGACAATTTCCACAGCATCATCATCATCATCTGAGTCAGCGCCGTCATCCTCAGGATTCCCCTCAGCCTCCTCCTCCTCCTCCCCGGCGAACGTCTCGGACTGACGATCGGTAGCCTCCTCCTCCTCCTCATCAGGCTCCACCTCCACAACGTGAGCCCTGCGTCTGCGGACAGGCCCTCCTCGAGCTCCTCGAAAAGGCCTAGATGGCCCGGCTCCCCAGGAAGGCCGAGATGGCCCTGCCCCCTGAAAAGGCCCAGATGGCCCAGCTCCCCAATGAGGCCCAGGTGGCCTGGCCTGCGGCTGACCGGACCATGAAGGCATCTGAAAACAAAGAGTTCAATTCAAATACATCAATCCAAATATATACATCAGATGCAGATACAAGCAAAGGCTACGTGAAGTGGGTGCATGTAAATTTTTTTTTATTTTTAAACATGCTGGACAGCACATTTTGAAATAATATTATTTAATAAATTATGTTTTTTATTAAGTACAAATCATGATTTTTATTTGTTTTATTGTTTTATATAAACATAATTTAACAATTCTCATATTATCAACTATAATCAAAATAAATACAATTTTATTTAATTTTTTTCCTATTAATTCCATCTATTCTATATCTAAAAATAAATAATTCCGAAAATACCACCTAAAAAGTCATTTTGTACCTGGTATGATGCATTAAATGTCTAGTCATATCGAGCTTTAGGCGGAGAACACATCTGAATGATGAATGAAAACAAGTGGAGCATACCGGCGGTGAGTCCGGATCAATGGCGTATCGATCACTGGGCATCGGAGGCTCTAGTGGAATCGGAGTCGGGAAGCTAGCCCCATACTGCCACGCCATCAACTCAGTAGGCATATCTGGCCATCCGACATAAGGATGAACCGACGGAGCCGGAGGAACCGGTCTACTTCCACCTCTAGATGTACCGGCCCTACTAGAAGAAGGGACGTCTGTAGCTCGATCCCGAGCCTGGTCCGAGGATGACATACCGGCAGGCCTCATCATCGGGATACGAGCTTCCGTCAATGGAGGCATCAAGTATATATGACGGTAAGTGGCGTAGTCCCCCTCCTCAACATGCAGTAAAGCATCAGTGCCCAGCATGGCGCCGACTACCTCTGAGTAAGAGAGCCTGTCAGCAGTCCGCATACTGGCTGGAGGTACTACGGGAATATCCTGAGAAAGATACCCCCATACCTGGCGCAGAAAGCGCTCTCCCAGGAACCACACCTTGCCAACTGGCCCTTCAAGCAGGACCCTATATTGGGAGATGTCCGATGCCCCGGTATACTGAAGTCGGAGGCCATCACCCAGGGACACCCAGGGCTGCCATGTAATATACGGATGACGAGTGCATAAACCAATCAGAAATCGAGAGTATACAGAGCAAGTCAAAGATGAAAATGAAAAGAACTGAAAGTTCTGAAGTACCTCTGAATGTCGCACCGTGTCGAAATACTGTCGCAGACGAAGGAGGGTCTCTCGAGGCCTCGGCCGGTGCGGGCCCTCGAATATCAATGAATATGGGGTCACGGGAATCCCTACCACCTCCAACTCTGGGGCTAATGATGGGAAGTATACATAAACCCATAGCTGAGAAAAGCAATGCAGGATGTAAGTACGAAATGCTGAGAGCAAAATATAGACTGTAAAAAGTGCGCTGTGTGTGCAATGTACAAATGATGAAAAGCAGAAATGTAAATCAAGGGGACAGAAAGTACCTCCCAAATGAAGAAGATTGAGGATGATCAGTTCCTAGACCTTATGACTCTGAAAACAAAATTTTCGTTGGTAAATTGTTTGTTTGTGCTTAAAAGCTTGTAAGCAATCTTCTATGTTGTGTTCTCTTTATTTTGACAATCACACTCAAATTATAGCCTTACTTTAAAATAGCAATGTGTAGTAACTGAGATGGAGATGTTCAGTTACAGCACTGCCGGTGGAGCAGCAAACCAGGGTGCTCTTGGACCGTTTGGTTTGTTGGTTCTTGCAGATGAGAGCCTTTCTGAGCAGACTCCCATTTACTTCTATGTTGCCAAAGGAGCTGAGGGCAAGTTGAAGACTTTCTTCTGTGCTGATGAATCAAGGTTTGTTACTCTTTTCATTGTGCACTTGAAACATACTCAATATTAATTAACATTTTTTGTCCTTTATTATAGTTTTATTGGTTATGAGTATTACCAAATTATATAAGTCCATCCTTATAATTTTTAATTTTTTTTGAAAATTATATTACTTGAATGGCGGGCCTTCCTACATGCGTGGCGTTATGTTTACCGAACCTAATAAACCTCTCTCTATTGAAGAGTTCCACATGCCTCGCCCCAAGGCTGGTGAAGTTCTCATCAAAACCAAGGGTAAATTTTTCTTTGACCAACTACACAAACATGTATATATATAACTGAGCATTTTATGATGTCAGTATATGTCGTGAGGTGATTTTGTAAATTCTTTAGTTGTATAACAGTGTTCAACAATGTACACACACACACACACACACACACATACAGACTATATCTATAAAGTGTTTGAGTTGCAAAATCACCTCCCCATTGGAAGAACATTGTGCCAATTTGCTGGTGGCTTGCTCAGCTCAAACTCTTTGGTGCAGAAATAGTGGAATACAGTTACAGGAGAATGAAAGACCCTTAAAAAAAGAAGAAAAAAATTGACAACATCATCAAGTTTTACCGTGATAAGGGGCCTATATCTATAAATTTTAATGTGATTAATAATTTTCGGCTTCCATATTAGTAACGATGAAGTGTACGCCCTTTGCTTGGTCCACAAAGACACAGAAGAAAAGAAAATGCAAATGGATTTGTGAAATTTTAATTCAGTCTTTGTCTTAGAATAGGGAAGAAATTACAAAAGAAATCAATTTTCCTTTTTTTTTTCTCCTTTTTTTTCCCTGTCCCCTGCATTTGACACTGATTTCCTTTGGTTCTTTTCTTACTTCTGTTTCAACTTTGATTACTGTTTAAGTTTATTGATTCCTTTGTCTACTTCTCTGTTGGAATGACTAAAATATGTCATTTCCGCAGGCAAACCTGTATATATGTATAGCATGGGTGGCCTTGCTGATTTTTGTGTCGTGCCAGCACATGGTTTGTGCATTCTACCCAACACAGTGCCGTACATAGAATCTGCTATTTTGGGATGTGCAGTTTTTACCGCATATGGTCCTAAGTGTATAGAGAAGTTGCTTATTAATTCCAAATGGTTTTGTTCCATGAATATGCCATACCTTGAGTTTGGGAGATAGTTGGGATGGACCAATCAACTATTACCATTTTTTTACCTTCTATGTCATAGCAGTGAAACCAAATGTCCAACAAACCCAAATGTCCTTTCATATTCTCATCACAGTTGTCACTCCCCTCTTCCCAGTCTTCCTCAAAATGCTCTTGTTCACAGCAGAGACCATCAAGAACAAACATAGGGTTCTGTGAAGCCATAAACTTCTTCTGAGAATAAGACAATAGAGCCACTGCTCATTATCTTCAGGACCTGATGATGAAGAGAGACATGATCAACATTGGACCCATTACAACATTGGACCCATTACAACATCTGAATCTGTTTCCTCTCTCACTCTCTTTAGATCCCAGGGGAGAAGAAAGAAAGACAGACCCAGATATAGAAAGAAGGGGGAGATTTATCTGAGAAGGTTATCAAGTCTGTCCTTTTTTCTTTTTTTCTTTTTTTTGCCAAAGTTTTGTTCTCTGAAATTTATCTGAGATTTGTTCTCTGGATATTGTTCTCAAATCAAATCACTGAGTTCTACTTCAGTTACTAGCATGCCAGCAAGAGAGTACATTGTTCTGATAGTAATGGAATCCAAGGATTTAGCGAAATCAAGGACTTCATTTTTTTTTGGACTTTTTGCTTGATGATGATATTAGAAATTCTGTTTCTGACGTGGGTAATCATCAGGGATATAGAAATTACTAAAGTCACGAGAAGTTAATAGACGAAACCTATTATAGATTTCTCCCGAGTGGGAACTTAAGTAACCCCCTCAAATATCATCTAATGTTGAAGGGTTCTCTACCATTGATGTCCAATTTATAGGAGGGTAAACCATAGGAAGATTGAGTTTAATAGGAAGGAGACTTGAGTCAATTTAATGGATAATAACCCCTCTTCTTAGACTTAGAAACTGGTAATGTAAGAATTTAAAACATGTCCACTGATAGGGAAGTTGTGCCAAAAAAGGAGTGAAGTTTGCAAGTTCACTGAATGAATTTTATATGTTGCATAAATCTGGCTATCAGTCTCTTGCCCTGATATGAAAAGCTTAATTGTAGTATTTAATAAACATCTTCTGCCCTGTTGTTTCAAAAAAAACTCCCAGCATGTACTCTTTATTCCTTGAATTAATTTCTTTATGCTCAGGTTTCTTGGGAATAATAAATTAGCCGGTACCCTTCCTGCCCAAATGAGTACATCTCTCCTGAATATGTAAGTATTTCTTATATAACCATTCATAGCTTAATTTAAACACATGTAAATGGGTGTTATCAACGAACTTCTTTTGTAAGTTTTGAAGTTCATTCCTTCTTTGGTCTATAACAATTATCAAGAGATGTTTGTTTTCTAATATAGTTTCTCAAGTTTCATGATTATATATAGATTCAAAAGCATAATCAACTATTGAACTACAATGATACATCAGAGATTAATCATTTTTGCCATTTGATTTTTATCAACAGCAACATATTTTTTAGACAACCCTGCTATGTGTGCAAGAAAATCATGTAATAGGCAAGGCAACAATCCTAGTACCTTTGAAACTAAAACTGAAACTGACAGTTTCTACATTGACTTGTACCCTTGAAACTGGAACTGACATTGAGATTTGCTGGGGTGTAATATGCAGTAATTTAGTGGCCAACAACTTCACAATGGAAAGTTCAAACAACAGGTGATTGTCTCCCTGCGGTATGCTTTTGTTTTTATTACATACGATTCTGAACATTCAGTGAAACTTATGCATTTTCTAGTTCTTAATTGTATTATCTGTTTGTGGGTCCTAATTCTTTTCCTTTTCTCTTATTGTAATTAGTACATGGCTATGGATGTGCACATTTCAACTTTTGTAGAATTAAAAATGTCCTTTTGTTTACTCTCAAAGGAGATTTGCCCAACATTATGTAGCCTTTTTGTTTATAAATTTTCCATCATTCAATATGGAAATGATTTTTGGAGTTTTAAATGTTGGTTCATGTGATTTCAGGTTCATGCTATTGAAAAAACTTCTTCAATGAGCAAGTTGAATGAAATACTTTTTGGCAGGTATCCTAAAGCTTCCCCAATCATATTATTAGACATTCTCGTTATCATCCTCATCATCACCTTCATCATCTAGTGAAGTGAACAGATAAAAGCTAATGTTTACTTTATCTTACCTTCTTAACGTAACTGGATGATGGGAAGCAACATGGAGAGCGATTCAGAATGACAATGAAGGATGGATGGGGGCTTTCCTTCGGATTCTTATTTCTCTTCTTTTTTCTTTTTTTTCCTTTGATCTGATTGGGGAGTTGGGTGTTTTGGTTCACTTTCTTCTTATTTTTTGTGTTAAATGGGGGAGGGAGTGGTGAGAGATAGAGAGAGAGAAGAGAGTAATATTATTTTGTGGCTTTGTATACAAAGTAGTAATTAATTTTTTGGTTGAGAATTATGAATACAATTTTTGGGGGTAATATTAAAATACCATTTGTGGATATGTTATTTTGTGGGTAATGGTGATTGGTGAATGGGAAAGTGAATTAATGATGCATTTGCTATTTAAATGTAAGTTATTATTTCATGTTAGTGTTATTCATTTTTATTATATGTATTTTTTTAGTTTAATCACATAAATTAGCACAATTTCAAAAAAAAAAAAAAAAAGAGATATCACGGCGTTTTTTTAAAAACGCCACTAAAACCCAAAATATTAACGGTTCATTTTTTTAAAAAGATATGACGGCGTTTAAAAAATGTCGCTAAATATCATAATGGTGTCATGGTGGTGTCAAGTAAGACATTTAGCGGCGTTTTTAAAAACGCCGTCTATACTAATATAACGACGTTTTTAAAACGTCATGAAGTTATAGCGACGGCCGCGTCCTCGACGCTTAATGCTAAGCGTCGCAAAAAGATTTAGCGGCGTTTTTGACACTTATAGCGGCGTTTTTTAAACGCCGCTAAAAGCTGAATTTCCTGCAGTGATAAGAGAAATTACAGAACATCATCACTTGCATCGAAACCATACAACGCCAGACCATTTTTCACATATTTGGAGCTGACTAGGCCACACAACCCATTTCAATGGTAGTAAATACATACTAATTGGCTAACAATGCCTGTGATTGCTTCTCATAGCTAAATCCTAATCCTTTTGCCTTGGACTCATCAGCACACCAAACAAAAATCCCATGAAGTTCTTGCTGATTCTTGAGCCTACTGCAAGCGGAAAAAAAACCATTTTCCGGTGACAACCCACCGCTTCCATCACTGATGAAGCTCACCAAGACCTTCCCTCCATTGTAATTAGAGCTCTGAGTCTGAAAATAGGCCATAAACTGAGAAACATTGGTACTCTGATCATAAGCATAAAATTGGAAATTGACAGTCAATGAGATTGCCATAGCTCTTCCACAAGGCCAAGTAATGACTCTGAACTTGATCATCATCAAATGGAGCTATAGAAGCAAAAGAGATGAGTCCATTTTCTTTCATTTTGGTTATAAGCTGTCCAATGCACTCTGCAAAGGTGTTTGGATCGGTGTTGTTGAAGTGTTCATAGTCGATGTCAATGCCATCTAAGTTGTACTGTTTGATGATTTGTGTGAGTGAAGCGATGGAATTGGAAACCCATGAATCTACTGAGGTGGGACTGAAATAGGCTTTGGAATCTCCCACACTGTCTCCTCCTAAGCTCAGAGCCACTTTGACATTGGAGTGCTGGTTTTTTATGGAGGAAACTTGAGACGGGCTGAGATTATCGGTATCCCAAAAGATGTTGAATTGGCCATTGGTGGGAGAGGGAGAAGAGGTGGCGGTGTAGTCGATGGCAAAGGCGAGGATGAAGTGGAATTCAATGTTGGGATTTATGGGCACATCTGAGAATTTGACATTTTTGAACTCTGCTCCTATGTATTCTCGGAAGAGGCCTGAGTTTGACGATTGGATTGGTGGGAGGAACAAGACAGATTGAAGAATGAAGAGGGTGGTGATCAGAAGAAGCTTGTTTATCTCCATAGTTGATGATAGAGTAGGTCTGTTGGTGGTTCTGTTGAAGTTGAAAGCTCTGAGGATAAGCCATTTTAAGGAGATGAGGAAATGAAAATTAATTCGTCTAGGAACTGATTTATTTATTTATTTTTACATACACACGTACCAAAAAAAAAAAAAAAAAGATAAATTGGGTTGATTTGTTAGAGTGATTTATGGATAAATTGGGTTGATTTGTTGAAACTTTACTCATTAAATGCCATCATTTATGGATACTTCTCTCTCTCTCTCTCTCTCTCTCTCTCTTTCTATACATATATATATATATATTATTTTGTGTAGTTCTCTAAATCCAACATGTGTTTTCCTCTGCTCACCTAGATTATACGTCTTGGTAAGTGATATGTTTTCTTTCTTTAATAGTCTTGAGAGGTGTCAGTATTTTGCTGAATCACCATTGATTAATCCTGTTGCAGGTGATTTTGGACTTGCTAAGATGTTGCCATCAGATGATCTTGCATCCTCTGTAAGTCTTGTGGTTAACTGGTTCATTTTTCAAGTTTCAACATTTGCATTAGTTTTATTGTTCAAGATTTCTTTTTCGTAACTCAGGTTGTAGGAACTCCAAGTTATATGTGCCCTGAGCTTCTTGCTGACATACCTTATGGCTCTAAGTCAGACATTTGGTCCTTGGGTAAGTGTATACACAAATGTCACATAAATACATATATAAGTTATAATGCAATCATGAATGCAAGTTGCAACTTGGCATATTTTTGATGCCTATGAAAATTTAGATTTTTCCTTGTGAGGAATTGTGTTCTTATTTGTATATTGTGGCCTTTAATTAGTGTCTTAATCTAATCCTTGCTCTATTTTTGTTTTCCAGTCAGGCCCTCATCAAAAGCATGCTGCGGAGAAAACCCAGAACTTCGGCCGAGTTTATTTCCTGTTCTTTATTCTTTTTTTAACACTTTCCGAAAATGTTTTACGTAGGAGAAGCATTAATATAAGCATACCAATGATTTGCCATTGCCTTAGATAATCTAAATGATTCCTAATTCATTAATTAGGACTCAGCTAGTTGTGGTTGTTCTAGCTAATATATTGCCATTCATAGTCATCGGCATAAGCCTTTTCTAGTAAGTTTCTCTAATAATTTTAAATCCCTGTAATGTATCTTCCAAAATTCGAAGCCAAGACATTTTTAAGGTACTTATTGGTTTTATGTTTCAATTGGATTTAACTTTTGTGGCTTTGTATATAAGGTAGTAATTTTTTAATTGAGAATTGTGAATTCAATTTTTGGATATGTTATTTTGTGGAAAAATTAATGCTATATTAAATTGAATCGGAAAGTGAATTAATACTATATTTGTTATTTGAATGGGAGTTATTATTTCATATTAGTGTTATTTAGTTTTATTATTGGTGTTCTTTTAGTTCAATCACATAAAATTAGCACAATTTCAAAACCAAAAAAAAAAAGAAAGATAAGACGGCGTTTTTCAAATGCCACTATAACGGTTGGAATTTTTAAAATTAAAAAAACCTATGAAGGCGTTTTAAAAACGTCGCTAAAACGCTAAATCATACTGACGTCACAGTATTGTTAGGGCAGGGTTTTTGGCGGCGTTTTTAAAAACGCCGCTATACTAATATAGCGACGTTTTCCAAACGCCATATAAGTTATAGCGACGGCCGCGTCATCGGCGTTTGGTATTAAACGTCACAAAAAGAATTGGCGACGTTTTTGGTACCTATAGCGGCTTTTTTAAACGCCGCTAAAAGCCTAATTCAGCAGTGATGATTTGATGTGTTATATATAAGACTAGCCTTGTTCTTAGCCTGGTCTAACTCCTCTATGCTAAAGCGAATGCACCCAACAAGTGGCTAAGGCTCCTTAAGGGCTAGATAAGTAATCTGGCCCAAGATGCGTTCATTGCCCAAACACCATAGGAATGGAGACCTTTGCAATGAGGCATGGGAAAAAGTCAGTTAATCGTAAGGCATATTTTATTGGAGAGGATTGAAGAAGTAAAAGAAAAGGGAAAAAAGTAAAAAAGTAATGTGATTAAGCAATAACAGGGTCTAGAGGTTATGTTTGGGTTGGGAAAATTACTGGGAGGAATTTGAAAAGAAAAAGGAAAAAAGTTGTGAAATTAAAGTGAAATTAGGTATATTTTATTCACATTTCACTTGTCTTTTTTCTATTTACCTTTCCAAATTTCGCCTCGCTCATATTCCTCCCAAATCTCCTAACTACCAACATTAAGAGAATTTCTTATTAACTTCTTCTTTTTGTAGGCTATAGATATATTACATGTTACATAGCATAGAAATCCTTAGCACCTGAACTACAAATCCATACGCATTTCTACAATTTATACCCAGTATAACTAGTGCAGAAGGCTGCTGCTATGAAAGAGGTAGTCGGTAAAATCCTCCAAAGAGAAATATATATATGTCTCCCCAATGGTTCAACCAAATTTAAGGACTGGCACCTAGACCACACTTTTCTAAAAAGGGAAATGAAGGAGACCCTTTTTTGGGAGACATTCACAATTTCTAAGTAATTTATCGCTACTTATTTATGTATGGAATACTACATCATGAGTAATGTGGAATGTAATTGTTTGATTAAAAACAAAAGATAATATAATAATAAATATTTTGATTATGTTATATTGTGCGTGGGTTATTTATATATAATATATATATATAATAATATAATATAGAAATTGCAATGATAAACTTGGACAATGATAATGGAGGAGTACATGTTCAAATATATATTATATAGTTTAATACAGTATGATCAAGAACTCAGAAAAATAAAGTACAAGTGATATCTTCTATAACTTTTTCTCGTAACATAATCATTTGTTAGTGTATTTTCTTTTACTTTGGGTTGGGTTTTCTTTAAACATTGTGACAGAATAAACTAATTGAGATGAAATCTTTGGGAGATCTACTTTTCCATTACTAGGTTAAGAGAAACTGAAGGCGCTTCTGTTGTTTTTGTTTTTTTTAGAAAAGTAAAATTAAATTCTAAAAGATGTAATAAAAATTCAGAGTTTGGAGTCTATTTAACAAAATAAATTTCAAGTTTTAGATCTTTAATCTTTTGGATTATTTTTTAATTTAAACCATTTGTCGTAACTTTTGTTAGAGTAAAATCGAACTAAAATATCGTATTTAGTTATTAAACCATTGTAGAATACATGTTAAATGTCTAAAATATTTTTCATTGGATTTATATAAATTAACTTAAAATAAACT